GATTTGATAAAATGCTATGCCCAAGATTACCATCCGAGTGCCGGCGGGGAAGTGGTTCATATAGCCTCGGCTATCACTTCCTTATGTCCGGTCGTGATGGTCAAGCGGATTAAGGCGTCCCTGTATATACCAGTTGTGGGAGTATGGGTTCGAGTCACTTCTGGGGTGTGAGTTTTCAGTTGTATATAGTCCTGGGGACCATTCAGGCTTGTTTGCATTTGTGTTCCTCACGTGTGCCCCAAAGAATGAGGTGATTTGATAAAATGCTATGCCCAAGATTACCATCCGAGTGCCGGCGGGGAAGTGGTTCATATAGCCTCGGCTATCACTTCCTTATGTCCGGTCGTGATGGTCAAGCGGATTAAGGCGTCCCTGTATATACCAGTTGTGGGAGTATGGGTTCGAGTCACTTCTGGGTGTGAGTTTTCAGTTGTATATAGTCCTGGGGACCATTCAGGCTTGTTTGCATTTGTGTTCCTCACGTGTGCCCCAAAGAATGAGGTGATTTGATAAAATGCTATGCCCAAGATTACCATCCGAGTGCCGGCGGGGAAGTGGTTCATATAGCCTCGGCTATCACTTCCTTATGTCCGGTCGTGATGGTCAAGCGGATTAAGGCGTCCCTGTATATACCAGTTGTGGGAGTATGGGTTCGAGTCACTTCTGGGGTGTGAGTTTTCAGTTGTATATAGTCCTGGGGACCATTCAGGCTTGTTTGCATATATATATATATATATATATATATATATATATATATATATATTTATATATATATATATATATATATATAAGTAAAAAAGCCATTTTTAATATAAATATATATATATAAAAATAATACAAAAGTCTTTGTCCGCTTTAACAAGCCTGGCCTGAGGACAGGTTGTTTAGCGAACCTGGAGTGATGACCGGTTGTACTCCCGCAGTTCAGATCAGTTAGGCGCCAGCTGTGGTCAGTGACGGAAGTGATTTGACGAGTGTGTGACGAAATTCAATTATTTTACCTCCTCTTCTGGATAAGAGACGTAAAGGTTTCGTCACAGTGAGCTACAGTAACGAGAGGGGTTACGTTGTGACGTACTGCTGCTGCGTTACTATTAGTGTGTTAAGTTTTTTTTCTACTTTTTTAATGGTGTTCTCATGGCGTGGACGAGTTAGTTATTCATTCCTAACTTAATCAACGACTTTGTATAAGTGTGGTGTTGGTATCAGTGAGAAACCAGAGTAGGAAACAACGCCGCTGCTGTTTCTATAAGGGGGTAAAGTCGTTAGCAGTGGTGGCCAAACTACTTGCTTCACTCTGACCGTACTGGACGAACTACCCTCCCCCCCCCCCCTCGTCTTGACCCCCCCAGCACCCTCGTCTTCCTAAACAAGGTAATTGTAACTCCTCAACTTTCAATCCTTACCTTCATTTGATCTGTTTATATATTATATTATATTATATTAAAATGTAGCATTGTATGTTGTGTATAAGAATTTCAATGTATAAGGCTTTTTATTGGACGATATGAATAATTTTATTTTACATGTCATTACAGGTAGGAATTGCTCTTCTTCGGTGGACTCCCTCCAACAAGACACCAATACTGAGGTACGTTCCAATTTCCTTTTCCTTCCATAGAAATATTTTATGGATCCATTGTGTGAAATGTGTTTATATGTTGACCAAACCACACACTAGAAAGTGAAGGGACGACGACGTTCGGTCCGTCTTGGACCATTCTCAAGTCAATATAAACACCATATACAGTGTTTATATATTTCGTTCGTGATATCTTAACTAGTGTGGAGAACTGACTGTCGAAGCCGGTTGAGCACACCTTGAATCAGCCTCTGGAACCCTTTATTTTTTTTAGATTCGATATAATTAAGAGACGAAGTTAATTTAAATTGTTAATTGTTGCTATATTGTTAAGGTCCAGTAACTATTCGTAACTTGTGAAGAGCGAGCCAGTTCCCGTCAGAGACAGATTACTCTCACGTAGATGGCACGTATTATTAAGTAGAATAATACGGGTTCTGTCACACCGAAGAATACCGTACCAGTAGTAACGTCCAAAGGAAAAAAATATGTTTATCTCTCGGATTGTCCGGTAATATGTTTGAGAAATAAAAAAAATTGTTTGAGAAAATATGTTTGAGAAATAGAAAAATTTCCTTCGTTAATCAAATCTCTAATCTTTTCAATATTTCATATTTCAGTCCTAAAGTCGACAACTTTATGTTTCCAAGTTGAGTAGATTTGTAAAGGAATCATTTGCGTCTCAAAATTAACCCATTAATCTTCTGCAACGTTTCCAAATTCAATATATCTAATGTTACTCTGACTGCATACTTTATGAACAACAACATGAATTTAATCCATCTTGAAATTATTTAGAAGTTCAATTAATGATGATTGAAAAAATGCATCTTGAAATCTCTGAATGTTTGTTTTCTCATAAATTGTTAAGATCTGTCACGTTATTTCTCAGGCTTGTGAAATATTTGAAGTAACATTGTCAACATCGTAAAAGCATTTCCAGTTGGAATTCAAAGGTTTTTCTTGTTACTCATAACTTTATGTATTTTGCCTGAATTTTGTAATTCGCAGCATTTAAACATGTGGAGAAATCGGTAAACATATATCATCAATATATAAATCCTTTCAACATCAGATAATTCTGCTTTCACGAGTTAATAAAACAAACGAATTGCAAACACAACAAATCGTTTAGAGACACAACCTCTTGTAAGCCAACGAATATTGTTGACGGAAGTTGTCGTGAGAACACACAGTTTAAAAATAAAAACAGATAAAAACAGTTTAAGCTCAGATAAATCTCAAATTGTCTTTTTTATCAAAGCACACACTGAAACAAAATGATCTACCTTGATTGTAATTTGCATCACTGTTGTAACCTTATTACGTCCGGGGTTTTTCACTCTGCTGTGCAATTAAGTGAAAGTCTCCTTGTGGATACCCAACATATTTTGCGAGCCCATTGACTAACCCAGCACGTTTTATCAAACGTGCTGGGTGTATCATCCTTTATCACGAAGCTAGTTTCGTCTTTGTTTACATTTCTACTTATCGCTCAGACAGTTTGTTTACTATAGCATAGTAAACTCTGTATTACGGTCATAGTAAACTCTATATTTCAGTCTGTGTATTACTTTCTGGTAACATCAAGAAGTTAGTCGGTTCTTTGGGTCCTGCATCACTCCTACAGGATCAACCAAGAGAGGAAGTAGAGTGAAGATAAGATATAATTGAGCTTGATAAAGGGTTTGGGGAGGGGATGATTAGAGTACTAATAAATGAGAAAATCAGTGAGGGAGAATTTTTTAAGGGGGGGATAAAGGACTAGGTGAGGGTGGATGGCAGGAGAAAGTATCAAAGGTATCAGGATAGGCACGAGGGAGAGTGGGGGGGGAGGGAGTGCGGACACCAAAGCTGATGATGGATGAGAATGAAGAGTGGGTGAGGCTGAAGAATGGATGGGGGGGCAGGAAAAGACGATCGAGGCCGTGAAAGGTGTGTTTGGTAGAATTTGCGATGGGAAGAGAGGGGGGAGGGATGTGTAGGGTTGGGAGTGGGAAGGGATGTGCTGAGGGAGGGTGAGGGGCAGGGAGGCATGAAGGCAAGATAGAGTGAAAGAGGTGTGTGAAAGGTGTGTGGAAGCGCAAGAGAAGAAAGGTGACAGAAATAGAGAGGAACTAGTAAAGAAGATTCAGAATATGTCCACCTGGAGATGTCTTGGAACAAGCAGTGAGGACGTGTGGAAACTGATGGTTGAAGCAACCCGTTCTTCTAATAGCACGTCACATTTTGACATATACCTTCCCCCAAGACCAAAAAAAAAATCGAACTAAAAAATGATAGTGGCTCTCGAAGTTGACATAATGTCCCATTTTCTGGTAGGGGAGGATAAAGTACTTTAGTACGGCAGATTAGTGACGCTGGGAACGCTCGCGTGAACGGCCTGGTTGAAGTGTGTGCGGTGGGATTGGAGTCGAACCCTGTGAGAGGGCAACGGTGTGGGATTGATGGGGGGACAGCGTGACAGCTCGTGTCAGTTAATTGCTAGACAAATACTCTCAGTGTAAAAAGAAAAAGACAGAAAAAACTATTGACCCGGAAGAGCTTCAAGCCCAATTAAGCAAACGAGAATGACGCAGGCTTCAGAGGAGAGCCTTATTACAGAAGCACCGAAGGTTGGATATGCAGCTCCTAATTGACTTAGATGAATAATGAGCACTAATCCTTTGGGTGGAAATAGATTGGAGGGTTGAGCGGCGACTAGTGGAAATGGATCTCAGTGGAGGATCCTGAATAAGGGGTTAATAGAGGAACTTGAGAAAGTATGCGTGTGCCACGAGAAGTAGGAAGAAGAGAGTACAGAAGAGACGAAATAGCACAGGTGCTGCTTCAAGGCGGTGGAGGAGATGAGTAATTACCCGCGACAAAAGGATAGAATGGGTTTACACAGGAAAGGCAGAGGCCTAAGAGCTTTGGTGATGGATGAATAAAGGGGTGAGAGAAACGATTTGGCTGGAGGGAGGTTCTGGGAGGTGGGAGGATTTAATAGCACAGCAAGAAAAGGGAGAAAAGGGGTTTAAGGGAATGTTGAACACCACAGGAGTACGTGGGAAGGAGGAAAGGGCATGCCGGACGGACGCACAGGACGTCTAAAGGGGAGATTGTATGGGGTTAAAATCACATTAATGGAACGTAAAATGAAAGATAATCATTTAATGTTAATATGATAACACTGCGGGTGAAATGTATATTCTTGGAGGCAATATTCTTGGAGGTATCAGTGTAGAAGGGGGTCAATATAATACATGTAACGGGTGTTGTGTGGTAGTAACAATACAAGAATGGGTATTGTATGGTTGTATTAATACAGTAGGTAACGGGTGTTGTGCTAGAGCATCAGCCTAGGCGGTGACGAGAGGGTGGAGGGTGGGGAATGGGTGTAGAATGGGTTGGTCAGTAATATGTATGATGGGAGAGCTTAGTTTTGGAATGCTAACATATTGTGGGTAATGGTATTGGGGGAGTAACTTGAAAGGTAAGGTATGGGGAAGCTTTTTTGGGTGTAGTGAGTGACTATAGTGATCTCTTGGGTGTAGTGAGTGACTACGGTGATCTCGTGGGTGTAGTGAGTGACTACAGTGATCTCGTGGGTGTAGTGAGTGACTACGGTGATCTCGTGGGTGTAGTGAGTGACTACTGTGATCTCGTGGGTGTAGTGAGTGACTACGGTGATCTCGTGGGTGTAGTGAGTGACTACGGTGATCTCTTGGGTGTAGTGAGTGACTACGGTGATCTCGTGGGTGTAGTGAGTGACTACGGTGATCTCGTGGGTGTAGTGAGTGACTACGGTGATCTCGTGGGTGTAGTGAGTGACTACGGTGATCTCGTGGGTGTAGTGAGTGACTATAGTGATCTCTTGGGTGTAGTGAGTGACTACGGTGATCTCGTGGGTGTAGTGAGTGACTACGGTGATCTCGTGGGTGTAGTGAGTGACTACGGTGATCTCGTGGGTGTAGTGAGTGACTACGGTGATCTCGTGGGTGTAGTGAGTGACTACGGTGATCTCGTGGGTGTAGTGAGTGACTACGGTGATCTCTTGGGTGTAGTGAGTGACTACGGTGATCTCGTGGGTGTAGTGGGTGACTACGGTGATCTCGTGGGTGTAGTGAGTGACTACGGTGATCTCCTGGTTGTAGTGAGTGACTACGGTGATCTCGTGGGTGTAGTGAGTGACTACTACGGTGATCTCGTGATCTCGTGGGTGTAGTGAGTGACTACGGTGAGTGAGTCTCGGTGATCTCGGGTGTAGTGAGTGACTACGGTGATCTCGTGGGTGTAGTGAGTGAGTGACTACGGTGATCTCGTGGGTGTAGTGAGTGACTACGGTGATCTCGTGGGTGTAGTGATACGTGACTACGGTGATACTCGTGGGTGTAGTGAGTGACTACGGTGATCTCTTGGGTGTAGTGAGTGACTACGGTGATCTCGTGGGTGTAGTGAGTGACTACGGTGATCTCGTGGGTGTAGTGAGTGACTACGGTGATCTCGGGGGTGTAGTGAGTGACTACTACGGTGATCTCGTGATTGGGTGTAGTGAGTGACTACGGTGATCTCGTGGGTGTAGTGAGTGACTACGGTGATCTCGTGGGTGTAGTGAGTGACTACGGTGATCTCGTGGGTGTAGTGAGTGACTACGGTGATCTCGTGGGTGTAGTGAGTGACTACGGTGATCTCGTGGGTGTAGTGAGTGGACTACGGTGATCGCGTGGGTGTAGTGAGTGACTACGGTGATCTCTTGGGTGTAGTGAGTGACTACGGTGATCTCGTGGGTGTAGTGAGTGACTACGGTGATCTCTTGGGTGTAGTGAGTGACTACGGTGATCTCGTTGGGTGTAGTGAGTGACTACGGTGATCTCGTGGGTGTTGTAGTGAGTGACTACGGTGATCTCGTGGGTGTAGTGAGTGACTACGGTGATCTCGTGGGTGTAGTGAGTGACTACGGTGATTCTCGTGGGTGTAGTGAGTGACTACGGTGATCTCTTGGGTGTAGTGAGTGACTACGGTGATCTCGTGGGGTGTAGTGAGTGACTACGGTGATCTCGGGGGTGTAGTGAGTGACTACGGTGATCTCGTGGGTGTAGTGAGTGACTACGGTGATCTCGTGGGTGTAGTAAGTGACTACGGTGATCTCGTGGGTGTAGTAAGTGACTATAGTGGTGGTGTAGTAAGTGATATTGTGAGTGGTCAAATAGAACTATGGCTATCTTGTGAGAGTAATATGACTTTTACACGGTTGTATATGAGTGACCATGACACTCTTGTGAGTGTAATGAGTGACTATGGCACTCTTGTGTGAGTAATGAGTGACAATTGAAAGCTTGAGTGAATGCAGCTAACAACTGGGTTCTGCATATCCGATTGGAGTGGAGAACAAAGTGATTGGTGTTGCTTAGGGGCTTGGCAAACAGTGGGCGATAGCGAGAATTGAATGGCAACTTGGGTTATTGCAATGTAAAAGTGACGTAGGATTTTGTTGTGGAAACTTAGTGCAATCAGTGAATAGCTGTGTTTCACTGGATAGTTTAGAATGGGGATGTAGTGAGCTTAAAGGCTGTAGGTTGGGGGGGGATAGAGTAATCTATAGTGGGTGTAGCATAGTAGTGAGGGGAGTAGCAAGGTAGAGGTGTAGCTGTGTGTGTGTGTGTGTGTGTGTGTGGTGTGTGTGTGTGTGTGTGTGGTGTGTGTGTGTGTGTGTGGTGTGTGTGTGTGGGGTGTGTGTGTGTGTGTGTGTGGTGTGTGTGTGTGTGTGTGTGTGTGTGTGTGTGTGTGTGTGTGGTGTGTGGTGTGTGTGTGTGTGTGTGTGTGTGTGTGTGTGTGGGTGTGTGTGTGTGTGTGTGTGTGTGTGTGTGTGTGTGGTGTGTGTGTGTGTGTGTGTGTGTGTGTGTGTGTGTGTGTGTGTGTGTGGGGGTGTGTGTGTGTGTGTGTGTGGGTGTGTGGTGTGGGTGGTGTGGGCGTGTGGGTGTGTGGGTGGGGTGTGGTGTGTGTGTGTGTGTGTGGGTGTGTATGTGTGGGTGTATGGGTGTACGGGTGGGTGGGGGGTGTGTGTGTGTGTGGGTGTGTGTGTGGGTGTGGGTTGTGTGTGGGTGTGGGTGTGTGTGTTGGTGTGGTGTGTGGGTGTGGGTGTGGTGTGTGTGTGTGTATGTGTGTGGTGTGGGTGTAAGTGTGGTGTGGGTGTGGTGTGTGTGGGGGTGGTGTATGTGGTGTGGGTGTGTGGGTGTGTGTGTGTGTGTGGTGGGTGTGTGTGGGTGTGGTGTGTGTGTGTGTGTGGGTGTGTGTGTGTGGGTGTGTGTGTGGGTGTGTATGTGTGTGTGTGGGTGTAAGTGTGGGGTGTGGGTGTGTGTGTGTGTGGGTGTAAGTGTGGGTGTGGGTGTGTATGTGTGTGTGGTGTGGTGTGTGTGTGTGGGTGTGTGTGTGTGTGGGTGTATGTGTGTGTGTGGGCCGTAAGTGTGGGTGTGTGGGGTGTGTGTGTGTGGGGTGTAAGTGTGGGTGTGTGTTTGTGTAACGGGTGTAAGAAAGATGAATGCCAGAAGGGGGGGAAGAAATGACATGAGAGAAAGGGAGGAATGGTAAAGAGATGATAATATGAGGAAATAGAAACAGAGAAAGACAGGAAGAATTATATGCAAAGAAAAGGCAGAAAGGAATACGTAAGTGAAGGTGAAGTGGTATAAAAGAGTAAGGGGATGAACGAACAGAAGAGAAACGAGGAAAAGAATAAAGAGTAATAACACAGAGAGCAAAAAAAAAAAACATGACTGTAGAGAGAAATGAGAACAAAATATGACAAAATGAAATGAGAAATAGTGAAGAAAAAAATAAGACATGACGTATTATGTAATATAGAAAAAAAGGGCTAGAAAATAAGAAAATTTAATTGAATACATTGTATAGAACATCATAAAACAAAAACTAAATGATATAAGCTAACCTCTCGACTCCCCCCAAACAGTGAATGCCAACCAGAGGGGGATTGAGGCCTGTACCGGCTGCGAGCCCTCAGGTATGATACCGGCTGCGAGCCCTCAGGTATGATACCGGCTGCAAGCCCTCAGGTATGATACCGGCTGCGAGCCCTCAGGTATGATACCGGCTGCAAGCCCTCAGGTATGATACCGGCTGCGAGCCCTCAGGTATGATACCGGCTGCGAGCCCTCAGGTATGATACCGGCTGCGAGCCCTCAGGTATGATACCGCGTGCGAGCCCTCAGTTATGATACCGGCTGCGAGCCCTCAGGTATGATACCGGCTGCGAGCCCTCAGGTATGATTCCGGCTGCGAGCCCGCAGTGTATGATACCGGCTGCGAGCCCTCAGGTATGATACCGGCTGCGAGCCCTCAGGTATGATACCGGCTGCGAGCCCTCAGGTATGATACCGGCTGCGAGCCCTCAGGTATGATACCGGCTGCGAGCCCTCAGGTATGATACCGGCTGCGAGCCCTCAGGTATGATACCGGCTGCGAGCCCTCAGGTTTGATACCGGCTGCGAGCCCTCAGGTATGATACCGGCTGCGAGCCCTCAGGTATGATACCGGCTGCGAGCCCTCAGGTATGATCCACAGGGACCACAACACTTTTGGCTTTCTGTTTTCCTTTGTCCGAAAGAGTGGCTCACCAGCGACGCTCAACAGCTTTCAGGGTCGTGGGATTACCAGTAGTTGTGGTGGCATGATGGAAGGGAGAGAGAGAGAGAGAGACGGAGAGATAGAGGGAGAGGGAGAGGGAAGGAGAAGAGGTTGAGGAATGAGAGAAGGTGAGGTAAAAGGTGCAGGAGAAGGGCAGGAAGAGTGTGAAGATGATGAACACCTTTTGTTTCTCACATAAGACATCTAAACGATTAAGGATCATATTTGAGATGTTAGAGAGTATATGTAACATAGGCAACAGTTCTGTTCTCACTCTGTTCATTTAGAGTTGTTATAGATTACCATTTCAAGCGCCTTCTCTTTTCTTATCTAAATCTATTACCAAATTCTATATTTCCTTTAATCTGTTGTAGCCACGAACTCTCGTCTCCGGTCCCTGTGTTGACTCGTCTAGGAATCCGGTACACGAACGATCATTATGTACCAAACCTGTACACGAACGCTCTTTATGACGCAATAAATACGTCACGTGCGCACCACAGACCTCAAAACTGGATAGGTCTTATTTTGGTTAGGTCAGATTAGCTCAGGGTAGGTTAGAGGAGAAGTTAGGTTGTGCTCACTAAGGTTAGGATGAGGTTAAGTTAGGTTTTACAAGGGTAGCGATGACGTAGAGGATGTACATACTTTTAACAGGTCTTGGACCCTACTCTGCCTTGGTCACTCAGAACAATTCAGGAAGGACATAGAAATGGAGGAAGGAACAGGCAAAAAAAAAAGAGAGGGATATGTTCAAGGGACGGAGGAAAAGTGTGAAAGGGAGAGCCAGTATTGAGGAAGGAAGAACGAAACTTGAGCTTGGTTTTGCAAAGGAAGAGAAGGGTGGAACGGAACAGATAGGAGAGGGAATGGTTGGTGGAACAGGTGAATGAATGGGGAAGTTTCAGTATAGTGCAGTGGTGGCACACTCGCCCCAACGCCTCGAGGACAATTTCATCGCCTGGGTTCGAACCCTGTCCAGTGGAGCTCGGAGGATTGGGGAACCTGGTTGTAAACTCATTGGTGGAGTAGGTGTTCCAGGACTAGCTAGTACGTCGAGGCATGAGACAACCTGTGGGTTACCGTGCGATGACTTCGGGGCTCAATGTTCCCGCGGCCCGGTCCTCGACCAGGCCTACCAGAGAAGGAAAAGACCTACACATTCCACCAACACTCCGAAGCACAGACAGTCTCTTGATGACGTAGTAGTAACACACTCGCCCCTCGAATGATTTGGTCTGGGTTCGAGTCCTTGACAGAGGAGGATTTCCTGGGTGCCAGTCAGTATCTGTTCGCCCTTTTCACTCAGCAGTAATTGGGTACCTGGTTCTTAGCAGATTGGCTGGTCGTGTTCCAGGAAAAATTACTGGGTAAGGCTTTCCATGAGCTATGGGAAAATAAAGTTCTCAACCTGTTATCAGAATTCAGAAGTTGTCTTCCTCTGTTTCACCGGTTGAGAGAGAGAGAGAGAGAGAGAGAGAGAGAGAGAGAGAGAGAGAGAGAGAGAGAGAGAGAGAGAGAGAGAAAGAGAACAACCAGCAATCCATACCAACAGGTTCCATACGAAACTAATCAGGTCATTAAATCCTCCCTCCCTCCAAGCCAAACCTCCTGCCATCTAGTCAATACACTCCTCCAGAAAGGACAATACTCACACTACGAAGGCACACGTCAAAAGCAGCTCTCTCCCTTCAGTTCGCTGGCGGTTGTGTAGTCATTCCTCGAGCTCACTTGTGTACGTGTTCCTTGTATATGACAGTACATCTGGCCGGAGTAGCATGGGGGAGAGGAAAGACAATTCAGACGAAAGCGCTCAGGCATAAAACCGGAGAATGTATTGGGGAAAATATCCATTTCTCTCTCTTCTAATACGTCGTATTATTAACGGAAGCTTCAAACAGAACCAGGGCGATGAATCAAGCTTCAAACAGAACCAGGGCGATGAATCAAGCTTCAAACAGAACCAGGGCGATGAATCAAGCTTCAAACAGAACCAGGGCGATGAATCAAGCTTCAAACAGAACCAGGGCGATGAATCAAGCTTCAAACAGAACCAGGGCGATGAATCAAGCTTCAAACAGAACCAGGGCGATGAATCAAGCTTCAAACAGAACCAGGGCGATGAATCAAGCTTCAAACAGAACCAGGGCGATGAATCAAGCTTCAAACAGAACCAGGGCGATAATCAAGCTTCAAACAGAACCAGGGCGATGAATCAAGCTTCAAACAGAACCAGGGCGATGAATCAAGCTTCAAACAGAACCAGGGCGATAAATCAAGCTTCAAACAGAACCAGGGCGATGAATCAAGCTTCAAACAGAACCAGGGCGATGAATCAAGCTTCAAACAGAACCAGGGCGATGGATCAAGCTTCAAACAGAACCAGGGCGATGAATCAAGCTTCAAACAGAACCAGGGCGATGGATAAAGCTTCAAACAGAACCAGGGCGATGAATCAAGCTTCAAACAGAACCAGGGCGATGGATAAAGCTTCAAACAGAACCAGGGCGATGAATCAAGCTTCAAACAGAACCAGGGCGATGGATAAAGCTTCAAACAGAACCAGGGCGATGGATCAAGCTTCAAACAGAACCAGGGCGATGAATCAAGCTTCAAACAGAACCAGGGCGATAGATCAAGCTTCAAACAGAACCAGGGCGATTAATCAAGCTTCAAACAGAACCAGGGCGATGGATCAAGCTTCAAACAGAACCAGGGCGATGAATCAAGCTTCAAACAGAACCAGGGCGATGAATCAAGCTTCAAACAGAACCAGGGCGATGAATCAAGCTTCAAACAGAACCAGGGCGATGGATCAAGCTTCAAACAGAACCAGGGCGATGAATCAAGCTTCAAACAGAACCAGGGCGATGGATAAAGCTTCAAACAGAACCAGGGCGATGAATCAAGCTTCAAACAGAACCAGGGCGATTAATCAAGCTTCAAACAGAACCAGGGCGATGGATAAAGCTTCAAACAGAACCAGGGCGATGAATCATGCTTCAAACAGAACCAGGGCGATGGATAAAGCTTCAAACAGAACCAGGGCGATGAATCAAGCTTCAAACAGAACCAGGACGATGAATCAAGCTTCAAACAGAACCAGGGTGATGAATCAAGCTTCAAACAGAACCAGGGCGATGAATCAAGCTTCAAACAGAACCAGGGCGATGGATAAAGCTTCAAACAGAACCAGGGCGATGGATAAAGCTTCAAACAGAACCAGGGCGATGAATCAAGCTTCAAACAGAACCAGGGCGATGGATCAAGCTTCACAGATATATGACTCATACTGGCAACAGAACAATGAACAGACAACGGGTCCAACACCAGGAAGATATCCAATATAAGGGGTTGTGTAGCACACATGCACCACAGACAACAGGTGTGTCAACAGCAAGACTGACAGCTATTACAAAGTGTAAAGGGGAGGGGTGTGTGTAGTGCCCCCCTTACACATACACTGTAATACTTGGGAGAAAGGGAACATAGAACATCTTGGAGTTTAGATGTGAAGGATTTATAGACATAATTCTATGTCTGGTGTATTGATAACATTTACATTTTTTTCACACACACACACACACACACACACACACACACACACACACACACACACACACACACACACACACACACACACACAGGTACAATAGCTTTTGCCCCTCAGGCATCAATCAACACAATGCTATGGACTAGAATGAAAGAGGAGTTTACATTGCATTTCCTCTTGCTAACCTAGCTAGAAAAAAAGGAGTTTTAACTGATAATCTCAGACGTCTCACACCTAACTGACCTACCATCTTTGTCTTCATATATATATTTTATTCTTTTCATCTGAAACAGTTTATCATTACACACACAAAAAAAATTACTATAATTTAGGCTTGAATATTTGACTTCTACTAATACCATATATGTCAATTCATTAAATATTTCATTTCCTTAACCATTTTTGTCTATTTACAAACGCCTTAACACATTATTGAACATCGGGGTTAGCTGATGAGTGAGAAACATTTGTTTTCCGCAAATCAGAATAAATTTTCTGACCCATTATATTCACTGCCAAACCCCAAAAATTAAATCTTAATACGTTCTGAGGTGTCCGTCAGCCAACGACGAAGTAATTTGACAAACGACCATTGAACGATGGCTTTTTTAATCGGCCACGGAAATTCCCAGTTGGCAAATATATGACCGGAAAAGATTTTTGCATGATTAAGCGTAAAAAAAGGTCGGTGATTGGTGGGGAGAAAATGGTTTGCTGGTGAGGAGGATATGTTGGTCCTTAAGATTCGCCAAGAGCGAAGGGAGGCTAGGTAGAGAAGGCTGAGATAGAGATAAGGGGAGGCTTGGAAGAGTAGAGAGTAGACTCTGTATGGAAAGGGAGTAGATGAGGAGTAGATGAAGAGGAAGGTGGTATGAGGAAGGATTAGGTTCAAGAAAAGATGATGGGAAGTTGAGAAGATTAGGGAGTAAACTCAAAAGGAGATGGGAAGAGGTTGTGGAAAATAGAGAGTGGGTTGTTGAAGAGATATCAAACGTTAGACAGAGTTGAGGATAGGTTCAGGAAGAGAGGAGGAGGAGAAAGAGGAGGAGGTTAGGAAGGATTGGGAGTGGCCTCAAGATGAACATAATTAGGCATAGAAACATAGAAACTTAGGCACTAGAAACTGATAAGAATGAAGGGTAAGGCACAACAGATTTTTGATGTATACAAATGAAAGATGTCAACATGTGTTTACAGTCTCCGTGGTGTAGTGGTAAGACACTCGCCTGGCGTTCCGCGAGCGCTATGTCATGGGTTCGTATCCTGGCCGGGGAGGATTTACTGGGCGCAATTCCTTAACTGTAGCCTCTGTTTAACGCAACAGTAAAATGTGTACTTGGATGAAAAAACGATTCTTCGCGGCAGGGGATCGTATTCCAGGGACCTGCCCGAAACGCTACGCGTACTAGTGGCTGTACAAGAATGTAACAACTCTTGTATATATCTCAAAAAAAAAAAAAAAAAAAAAAAGAGGTGAAGAGAGAACTAAAGAGGAAAGAAATAGAATGGAGAACCTCATATTATGAGGTTCTCCATTCTGTAATAGTCATATTACAGCTGGTTCTCCCACTAACACATTATGATATGGTGTTCAACTATACACCAGTAACTGGTTTCATCCCATTTACACTTTGGAATATAGTGACATACCACAGTGGGCCACCATACAGACGCTTCTATAGTGTGTGTGGTGCTACATTACACATGGCTCCTTCCCCTCATCCCCCTTCCCTAATATTCTCGAAAACCCAGGTGTACAGTGTTATACCTGGCTTCCTCATACCTGGTTTCCTCATACCTGGCTTCCTTATACACTGTGGCTTGCTGTGAGATAGATTCCTTCCCGGATCAGCGTGTCACGTGGTATGACTGTAGTTAACTTCCCTACCCGGCGGAGGGTAAAGTCAGTCCTCTCCTGTGTTCATCAAAACGTCACTAACAGCGCGCATAGGTTCGAATCTTCAACACGGCTCCTGTGGATTTGATCAGTGCTAGATAATGTCACCCATCTTGGGCCTCGGAGTGGTGCTGAATGAGGGTTGACCTTCGGGTTTAGTAGTTTATCAGACATATGGAGCACAGCGGTGTGTATGAATGCTTGTGTATAAATACAGTGTGTGTGTATGTGTGTGTGTATATTAATACAGCATGTGTAGCGATACAGATTTTCAGGCTGCAATGCAGTGTAAATGCAGCAATGAACTGTGCGTGTATTAATTGTGTGTGTTTATCACCATATTGTATGTGTGTGTGTGTGTGTGTGTGTGTGTGTGTGTGTGTGTGTGTGTATGTGTGTGTGTGTGTGTGTGTGCGTAATTACCTAAATGTAATTACCTAAGTGTAGTTTCATAATGAGAGCTATGCTCGTGGTGTCCCGTCTTCCCAGTGCTCTTTGTAGTATAACGCTTTGTAACTATTGACGATTTTGGCCTCCACCACCTTCTCACTTAACTTGTTCCAACCGTCTACCACTCTGTTTGCAAAAGAACACTTTCTATTATTTTTGGACACCTTCGTTGCCTTAGCTTGAATGTGTGTGTGTGTGTGTGTGTGTGTGTGTGTGTGGGTGTGTGTGTGTGTGTGTGTGTGTTAGGTGTGTGGTGTGTGTGTGTGTGTGTGTGTGTGTGTGTGTGTGTGTATGTATATTAGTAAGATATTTATTTTCGTTAATTCTCTATTTTCTCCTCAAGCAATTTACTTCTCAATAAGTTGTGTGGATTTTATGGTAACTTGGCGGCCCCGCTTTGCATCAGCGCCATTGCAATATCATTACTGCAGTCTGGAGGCTTCTTGCACCAGCAACATTTTATAATACATCAAAATGTCCTCTCCTCTCCTCTCTCATAATGTCGCTGAGGCGCTTCTTGCCCTGCGTTGTGTCGCGGTGTTCCTCCCCCCCCCCATCACCCCCCCCCCCTTCACCCATCACCTCACCCCCCCCCCCCCCCGCCTTTTTCTTCACCCCAACACTATCCCTCCTCCCCCCCCCCCTCCCCAAACACCTAACTACCTCACCCGCCTTACGGCCCACGTGGGAAGTATGGCACCAGACTAGTTCCAGAGTT